CCTCTTCATCAATTTCAAGGCGCGGAGACGGCCGAGAGACTGCCGAGAGAGGCAGCCGAGAGGCAGCAGCTGAGACGCGGACGGGAGAGGCAGCTGAGAGACGGCCGAGATGAGGGCGAGATGCGGACGAGGAATCCGCGAGCCCTCCCCGTGGCCACCCGCCAGGTCATCTTCCAGCGCGTGCTCTTGTTGCTGATGGGCCGCTCCGACGACTAGCGCCCGCGTGCCACACACACCGCCCTTGGGCCCTCGCTCACCGGGAGAGCGAGCGGCTCCACCCCCACATCTCCCCGAGGCGGTGCGCGCGGCTCGTCAGCCTGGTTGCAGGTTGGTGGCAGAAGAGAGGCGGATGGCGTGGTGAGACCGCGCACGTGCCGCGCAACCAGCGAGGGTCGGCGAGGGCGGGAGGGCTAGAGCCGGAGGCGGTGACCTTAGGTATAAAGGGACCACAAAGAGCTGTGTGTGTACACAAGACCTGAGACGACGCGAAGACGGGGCGACTTGTCACGCACACCCGCTCGCGGGGGCAAGTGTAACGCAACACACACACGCCAGTGTTATACGGGACATAAAGTACTACACACACAACCTCGCAGCGAGTGCCCCTGGGGCAGCTGCGCGACTCCTGGATCCTCGCTGCGAGTGCTGGTGAGATTGGCCAAGCTGAGGAGCGCCTCGACGCGTCGTGTTCGCCAACAAAGCAGCCGTATTGCGCCACCCAAAAATGCCGAGTACAGTAGCATCCGAGCTGTGGCGCCAACTTTGACAGGATGTGCGGCGAGGGTTTCTGCCAAGGCTAATCATGAACCCTGCGCGCGCCAGCGCAACACCCCTGATCCCTAGACCTCGCCGCGTGCCCGCGTCCCACGTGGCCTCTTTTCTCACCTCGAGTAGCGGCCGAGCACCGCCGCGAGACCAGAGAGGGGTAGAGCGACCAGAGAGTGCCAGAGCGACGGCTCGGTCTCGTGCGCCTGGCGTGGGCAGGTCAGTGCTTGTGAGCGTTGTGCTTGTTTGCAGGTGAGTCGCTTCCACTTCGGTGGTTGGGGTGGGCGCGCCTCGAGCAGTTGCCGCAGCGCCAACAGTTCCGTCTCTCTCCTCTCGAGTTCCTCACGCAGATACGCGACCTCATCGCCGCAGGAGCCGGCTGCTCCGTCCGCTCCGAAGAATCTATCCGCAGCTATCGCGCCGAGGAAGGATCCAAGAACCGCGACGGCCAGCGCAAAGGACACCGCTCTGCCGGGCTGGCTGCCCACTGCAGCGGCAGCGCACCGCGCGAGGGGGTACGAACATGGCTCGTCATCGTCCACGAGCGACTCCGCCTACGTGTCGAGGTGGGTGTGGAGAGCTCGAGGTCAGACTCGTGCGCATCGGATCGGGGGACGGGCGGGGACGCGAGCCTCGGACTCTAGGAAGGATTGCGCTGACGTGAGCCAGAGTGGCTCCTCCACCCCCGGCGCGGCGGCGTGGGCGGCTGCGGCTGCGCCAGCAGCGGGCGGAGTCTCGTCGATCTCACTGAAGGGCTCGCCGCACTCGGAGTCGTCAGACTCCGGCTTTGAGGCTGCGGCAGCCGAGTCGCGAAGCAGCTGTAGCGCCCTCTCCTCGTCTGCTGTGAGGCCGATGGCGGGGTCACCCCCGACGCGTAGCCCACGTGGTGGAGGCGGCGGAGGTGGTGGTGGCGGCGGCGGTGGCGGCGGCGGTGGCGGGGGTGGCGGTGGCGGGGGTGGCGGCGGCGGCGGAGACACGGACAGCCACTTTGGCTGGGTCGAAGGCTGTGTTGCAGGCGGCGGCGGAGACTTCGGTAAAGAGAGCCTCGGCTGAGACGAGTGCCTGCGGTTCTCCTGATCCACGCAAGCGTCGTCCTGATCCACGCAAGCGTCGTCCGCGTCCGCGCGGCCAATTGAAGCGGCGACGGGCATTTTTGCCGCGTTGCCGTTTGATAAGAGGGCGCGAGGAGAAGAGAATCTTACAATAGGAGAAGAGAATAGGAGAAGAGAAAAATGCATGCAGAAGATCTCGACGGTGGCGGGGCCACGGCCGAGGAAGCATAAGAGGGGAAGGGCGGGCCCCGCAACCGTCGCATGACCATCGGAAAGCGAACAGGAGGGAGGATCGAGGGGAGGGAGGAGCCCCTTCGGAATGGGGGTAGGGAGGCCGCGCGGTGGCCGGTGCGGGGGGTTCCAACAATCCAAGCGGCGATGTCGGGTGGGAGTGGGCGTCGTCTTCGCGTCTTGTCTATTCGCTTCGAGTAGAGGGGGCGTTCCGCCGCTAGGGCCGGGGAGCTTCCTTTTCGTTTCTCTTTAACTGGCCAGCTACGCTGCGAGATCAGAATTGGCGAGAGACTGCGACCTGACTGCGACGAGAGATAGGGCGGAGAGGCAGACGACGGCCGCGAGCAAAAACCCGCTCACTCACCCAGTGCGTTCACATGCGCGTTCACGCCTCTCTCACACGATAAAACTACGTTAATGGATTAACGCGAGCGTGGTCGCGGAGGGCGAGGGTCGGAGGGCGACGGCACGGGGGTGGCATATGTCTCGTCGACGTCGTAGCATATATGATTATCATATGAGTCGCATAGCGGGTCAGCAAGCCCTAAAACGGCGGGAGGGGTAGGGCTATATCGATAGAGCTAGAGGGCTCAACCACCCCTCCACCCCTCCACCCTCCACCCCTCCACCCTCCCGGAGCGAGAGGGGTCCGTCCTCGAGCCCTCCCACTTCCACCCCTCCGACCGGAGGGCTCGCCAGCCCACAGGGCTGGAGGGGTCCCCGTCGGATCGGCGTCGGGAGGGCTCCACAGGGTCCCATAGGGCTAGCGCGCTGGGAGGGTGGAGCGGTCCACCAGGGAGAGGGGCCAGGAGGGCTGGGCGAGGCGGGAGGGGTGGTGGGGTCCAGGAGGGCTCGCCGCCCCCCCGAGCTCGGGTGATAGGCAAGAGGGCTCGGGCGCCGGGTGGGCTCGGAGGGACGGTCGGACAAAGAGAGGATCTTCGTGGCGGGAGGGCTCGAGAGGGGTCGGAAGGGCCTCCGGGAGGGTTCGCAAAAAAAGAATGGCGCGGTCCTTCCGAGAGTGCCCGCCACGAGAGGGTTAGAGGGGTCGGAGGGGTTTAGAGGGCTGGAGGGCTGTAGGCCCTGCTGAATCCGCCCATGGACGCGGGTCAACCGGCGACGGCGCCCGTGATCGAGGGACCGGCGACGGCGAATGAGCTGGTCTCTGCGCCGCACGACTTCACCCACGTTCGCGACTGTGGCCATCCAACAGTCTGCCGGCGCGGCGGGCGCATTCGAATGCGCCGGCCGCGCCGGCAGACTGCCAGTGCTATCCGGGCGGGCCTGCTGCGGCAGGGCGCTGCAACGCCGCCGCCTCGCCGCCACAGCAGCGCCGCCCCCGCATGCTGCCGCCAGCAATGTCGCCGCCAGCCGCCGCCGCCAGCCGCCGCCGCCAGCTGCCGCCAGCACTGCAGCGACAGCTCTCTCTGCTGCCCAGGCGCCGCCGCGGCCACGAGTGTCACCGCCACGAGTGCCGCCGCCGTCAGCGTCGCCATGGCCGCTGCCGCCGCCAGGCGGGCGAGCGAGGAGCTCCATATGAGTGTGTGTTGGAGGCTGTGGCGCTCTTCCGTTTTAGCGGCGGAGAAACCCCAGGTATTTCGAATACCAAACGCGCTTCGTGTTTGCCTTGAGGAGCGCAGCGACGAGTCCGTAAGGAGCGGCCCCAGCTTGCTGGGTGCGGCGCCGCCGCGCGCCGTATCGAGAGACTCTGTCGGGGCAGGTTAAAATAGCGCCGCAGGCTCCCCGGGCCGTCCGCGCACAGACCACGGAAACGCCTTATGATGTGTATTGCACCACTTCCGTATGCCTGCAGGGTATCTTTAACCGAGCCCTCCGAGCCCTCCACACCCCTCCACACCCCTCCGACCCCTCCGACCCCTCCGACCCCTCCGACCCCTCCGACCCCTCCGACCCCTCCGACCCCTCCGACCCCTCCGAGCTCCGACCCCTCCACACCCCTCCGCGAGCCCTCCGAGCCCCCCGAGCCCTCCGACCCCTCCGACCCCTCCGACCCCTCCGAGCCCTCCGAGCCCCCCGAGCCCGGCTCGGTGGCTCGCCCCTCCGAGCCCTCCGGGCACTCCATCCCTCATGAGCCCTCCCGAGCCCTCCCGAGCCCTCCAGCGCCACCCTCGTGCCTCTCTGCCCTCCGAGCCCTCCGAGCCCTCCGAGCTCTCCACCCCTCCCGAGCCCCACCCCTCGCGCTAGGGACCCTCTTGCCGGACGACACCCTCTGAGCCCTCCAAGCCCCCCGAGCCCTCCAGACCCCTCCATCCGCACAGCCCCTCCGGCCCCTCTAGCCCCCTCCGACCCCTCCAGCCCTCTCTAGCCCACTGGACCCCTCCCACGCCTCGCTTTTGGCCAGCCCTCCAAGCCCCCACCCCTCCTGGGCCCTGCCGCCTGACACCTCTATCGGTGGAGGGCTTTAGGTCACGGTCCACACTCCCGCCCTCCCGACCCCTCCACAACCCCTACAGCGGCACCCCTACCCCTCCCGCCGTTTTAGGGCCTCCTGACCCGCACTCATGAGTCGTCGTCCTCCTTTCGTTATTCGCTAGCTAGCGCCGCACGTACCGCGGCGGGGCGCGCGGCGGGGGGCGGGGGGACACCGCCGCGACCCGGCGACACACGCTCCTCCCGCGCGGGTATCCACGGTCCGCGGGCCCCGCCCCCCGCATATATGGCCACCGACTGGGAGGCTCCGCGCCTGGACTCCGGCGCGGGCGTGGCAGGCGCGGGGGAGGGGGGTGTCACATGTTACATAATGTAGGACCCGCTACGCGCATGTACACAAGAGAGCTGCTCTCCGGCTGCACCGCATCTAGTACCACTTTCACTCAAGGTCTCAAGCGAACCTCTCGCGCCATCTAGCTTAGCGGCCGGGGTGCGGAGCTGCGGACAGCGCACACGAACGCGCCGCACGCTCTCATCATCCATTCATCCCGCCACCAAATGACGACTCGCTATCCACCGGTTCGCGGAGGTCCGCACCGATTGTCATAGCGAGGCGAGCAGACACTCCATCACAGCGTTGACACCGCCCGCGTTGATCACGTATTCGAACCCTTGACGTTCAAGCACAGCCTTTGCGAAAGCTGCGCGGCGGCCGGAATCGCAAAAGACGACCACGGGCAGCTTTGGCCGCGGAAGCAGCGCGGTAGCGCGCGCCTCGAGGTCGGCCGCGTCGTCAAGCGAAACTTCGCACCTGTTCATGCCGTCATCCGTAAGGAAGCTGTTCGTTGCTTCCAAAGAGGGATGCCACGACCCGCACCAAATCGAGGGGAGGGGGAGCGTCAGGGCGGCGCGCTCCCCGGCAGAGCGCACCTACAGGGCAATGTGATGAGGCGTGACAAGCGCCTGAGCACGCCAGAGCGCATCTCCAGCGGAGCTCACATCGAGCAGGCTAGCGCCGTAGGCCATCAGAGCCTTTGACAGCTCCGCTCTCGTCACTGGCAGAGAGAGGACCGGCGCTACCGCGGGTGCAAGCTCAGCACAGGGCGTCGCCGCCGCCTCAATCGCCTCCTTCGCCTCGGCTGCAGACGTGTCGGAGCAAGAGAGGAGTGAACAGCTGCCGGAGGATTCTCGCTCCGCTCCGGGCGCCACTGCCGCCGCTTCATCCACCACCTTCGCTGCACCGGCCGAGCTTCTGGGGTCAGTGATGGAGCTGTGCGCGGTGACGCGCGCTGACCCACTCTCGGCCCTGGCGACCGCCCGAGCCAAACGCGGGGAGGCGATGCTTCCAGGGGCTGCAACCGACTCGCTGCGCTCTGGCGCGCCCGCCCCCCCCGCCATCACCTCGCCCTCTGTGCCACCGCCCTTTGCCTTTCCTGACTCGCCCGCCTTCGCCGCCTGGACCCCCGCGAGGGAGGCCGCCTGCCGCTCGGTGGCATCCAGATGCAGGCCGACGTTTGCCTGCTCCGCCGCCCCTCCCCCTTCAGTCAGCTGCGAGGAGGGGTTGCTGGTCCACCCGCCGCCGCTCCTAGCCTCCACTGCCCCGATGCTGTCTCTCCGGCGGAGAGGGCTCTCCTCTCCCTCAGAAGAGAGAGATGAGAGCGTCGAGAGCGATGAGAGCGACGAGGCGTGCGAAGCCACTCGTGGCACAGACGCCAGCGGCTCCAACGCCGCCAGCTCATCTGCAGCTTCTCCCTCCGCCTCTACCACCGCCACCGCCACATCAGCCGCTCCATCGCCTGACGATCTAGCCGCAACTGTTGCCACCACCGCAGTTGCTGCCGCTCTCTCTGCCTCCCCCTCCGCCTCGGCCGACTCGGCCGCCTCCGCCTCGGCCGCCTCTGCTGCCGCCTCCGCATCTTCCATCTCCGCCGCATCTGCCACCGCCACGGCCTCCGCCAATGTGCCATCAGCTACCATGCCCTCTCGAGCTGCGGTGGACGCCACCGCGTCATCGTCAGGTGCCTTGACGACTTCGGGTGGTGCCTCTTTCGGTACATCATCTGCCTCGCATTCGGTTTCGCCGCATGGCGGGGTCGAGGCGACGTGCGGGGCATCGGTCTCGCTTGTGTCCGCCGCCGCGCGTTCCCTGACGTCCGTCGCCGGCAGCAGCCTCGCTCTACTTTGCGCGGCAAAGCTCCTCAGCATGGAGGAGCGATCCTCGAGGACCCTCCGCTTGGCGTCCTCAATCTCGGCCTGCCGCGCGGGGTCCCCATCGTACACCTGGAGAAGGGGTTGGGCGGAGCAGTCAGACCATGAGACAGGGAGGGTTGCCGAGCTACAAGAGCAGTGGCGGGCTAGCCCCACGAGGGGCTGTGTCTTGCAGCGGCCTCTTGCCACACACCTCCGCCAGCGTCTCGGCTGCCTCCGTGACCTCGTCGTATGTCGCATCATCCGAGAGGCCCAAAGTCCTGTAGGCCAATACGGCCGATTGCTCTCCGCCTGATCCTTGGCCCGGCCTGCCTAAGGCACCCGCGCCTCCGCCTCCACCAGCCTGCTCGAGGGCCTCCATGGCAGCCAGGTCCGCCTGCCGGGGAGGAGCGGACGCTGTCAGACTTGATCGGCGCGTGGCACTCCGCAGCCCTATGCTGGGCATGTGCGACATATGCTCTTTGGCGGTGGACAAGGACCAGGAGGGGGAGGTGGACGCGCCTCGGCGGCAAGCTCCGCCTCGTCGAGGAGGAGGGAGTCGTAACTGCTGCTCTCCTCATCCAGCGCGCGCGGCGTGTCCGGCCCCGCCGCCACGGCCCCCTTGCCGTCTGGCACCCTTGGCGCTCGCGGCTGGCGCGCGCGGGCAAGCGCAGCCTCATTCTTTGTTTGGTGGTCTACTTCCTCACCCGGATGGGTTCCCACACCGCCCGGACGGGGCCTGAACTTGGCCAGCAGCCCCAGCTTGAACAACCCCCTTCGTCGCGCCGTGGGCCGCTCGTTTTGCTGCCCGGCCTCTTTTGCCATTTTGGGACGCTCACGGTCTCACCGTCGCAAGGATTCAGTTTGGTGTTTGGGGCGGCCAAGGCGCAGTGATCTTCTTGAGCACTTGAGCACTTGATAGGGTCGATTCGTGATCTTCTTGTGATCTGTGATCTGTAAGGGTCCGCCCGCAGGCGCATTTTGTATACCGAGGCGGTGCCCGGTGCCGAACCTGTCGGACCTTAAGACAGCATTCGGTCTCAGCCCTACCTGGCCGTTCTATATTATAGAATGGCATCCTATAATGTAGAATGGCGTCTCGCGCGCGCTCACCCGGCCGCCTCGCAGCCCCAGCGGCCGGGGGGCGCTTGCCGGGGTTGAGGCTGGTCACACACAGGCGCCACTTTAACGCGGCGAGCCAGAGGAGTCACACAGGAGAGCCCCCAACACGCCACATTTTCAGCAGCAGACGGGCCGCGGTGAGGGCCCATTCTACATCGAAGAATGGGGTCCGCCGCCGTCCCCCACGGCCTCCTCACGCCCCCAGCGGCAGCGTGCCGCTCGGCCAGACTGGTGGGGTTCGCGACAAGCGCCAGTTCAACACAGAGAAGCCCAACAGTCCGCAAATGAGAGTCCTCCCCCCCGCCCCGGCAAACCAGAGCAGACGCCGGGGGCCGCGTATGGCGCAAGCAAACGCACGACGGCCGCCGGCAGCCGTTGAGCCGCTGCCGCCGTTCGAGCCTTGGATGTCCGTCCGTCGCCGCCTGTGGCGAGGGCAGTGGAAGTGTGAGATTTGTGCTCGCAAGTGGTGGGCGGGCGAAAGGGTCGGGCGGCAGAAGTGAGCAGACAGCGCGAATGCGGTCTACCTATGTCACAT